GGGAGCAGGGGAGCATGCGGTGTATGAGTGGTTTCACTTCCTCGCCCTCTTCCATTTAATTTTAATTGGGCCCATTGCGCGCGCCCCCCACCCGCTCACCAAACTTAATCTGTAAATCACTGCCCTACTCCTGTCACTTGTAACTCCCCACCCACTGGGGTTTTTGTTTATTCACGTCTGTGACAGATTTGCAAGACAAGCTCTCTCCCAAATCAGTGATGGCTAGCCTTCCCTGCCAGATGTTCCTGAAACACACTCTCCATTTGTTGGGTATAGAGCTCAGAAACACCAGGACTGCCATTGCTGCCCCTCAATAATGTGCTAGTGATTGTGTAAATGCTGTATATATTCAGTATCCATGCTTGTGTCCTTGTGTAATCTCTCTTCGTCTCCCTACAGATGGAGCCCGGCTCTCTAAGCACACGCTTCCTCTTGGCTCCCTTCACCGGCTTCTAGGCTCTAGAGAAGACACGGCAGGAATATTGGAGTTGGATAACCAGTACCACCTTGATCAACTTTAGTCTCTCTTATTTCTCCCCCCCCCCCTTACCTTTCATTGTTGTTTATTTGTGTCTAAACCTCTGAGCACTTGAAAGAGGTATATCTTGTCCAAATCAGGCAAACCTTAGCTAAAATCCCCATCTGCCTATATTTTCCATACAGGAAAACAAATTTTAATACTAAATACTCTTCATTATCAGCCCTAAAGGCACTGTATTTAATATCAATGTGCTTTTATGACTTTATTTCCATAGCAGTTTCATCACCCCCAAAACATTCCTTGTTTTAATATTCACTATACTCCCTGTGTTACTTACACTTTTTTTTAAATATAAGTCTGTAGCTTTTTAGTGTTGGTTTTCTTATGTAACCTTAAAGGCAACTTTGCTTTTAGCCCCAACTGTAAGGCCTTCTCCTTGTACACTGTGTCTACTTTTCTGCTTGTTGCATGGATCCCCGGGTAGCCTGGATACAGCCTGAACAGAGGGGCCCTGCTAATGCCCTCTGGATGCAAATATGGGATACCTCACAGGGCTTACGAGAGCGACGACTAAAACAAGCTGTCTCAATACCCGGTGGTAGCAATGGCAATTCAGTAAGTGGCCCACCTAATTACCCTGCCTATCTATGCCTCAACACCTTGGCAATGGACAGGTGTAATGCATTCCAGTCAAACTCATCTTCTCGACCTGGCACACCTTGCTCTTCTTCATCCTCCTCGTCTGGAGACAAGGAACAGGAAGTACCTGTTGTTTCTGGCTGTGCTCTTCCACCATCATCAACTTCTCAATCACTTGAAGATGGTGTTGGAGCTCGCACCTCAAGGTTACAGAAAAACCCTTCTGTCTCATCTTGTTCGTCTTCTGAATTTGGTTCTGATGGTCTCAGATGCTCTTCTCCAAGTGGTGTTGGGTTAGGACAATGTCAGGGTAGTTTAAATACAAACATTTCTACTTCTGGTTCAGTACAGCACAGTTACATGGGCAATGAGCTCCACAACAACATATATGGCCAAAATTCAAACTCTGTTGCCAGTCGGGAAGATTCTCCGGTCTTCCTTAATAGATCTCACCACAGTGATTTACACCATAACTTTCTCAACCAGTTGTCCAGCTGTTATGACCAGCTTCATCAGTATCATCCCAGCCGTAGGAAAAGAGAGAATAAAGCAAGCACCTATGGCATGAATTATTTGCTATCCGAAGACAGAGGAGGAATGAACTGGCTTGACTGTAAACCTCATTCAACGTTTGCCTCCGGCACTCCTTGGAAGACTAAGAATTACAGTCCAGATTTAAAGGGGTAAGGTAACAGTTTGAGCATGGTATGTATTGATCTGTGTATGTGAAATGGTGCAAGTGAGGCTTTCTTGTACACAGAGATGGTTGTTTTTTAGGTCTTTCCATTGTCTAATGTAGTGGTTCTGAAGAGGGGGATTTAACTATAAATAGGACAATTACAAGAGAACTTACAGGAACGATAAGTTGAAGAGGACCCAGCTCAAACGAGATTAGTCTATAGGTGTACAGTTAGTGTTTGTATATAATGTTAGCATTTTGATGCAGGGGTCTGTTTGTAATATTTGCGTGCAAGGGATGCAGAGTTGGCTTTTAAATGCGGATGTACATTTATGTGTAGTATTTGTATATAAATTAGCATCCAGTGGTTTTTGTATGCAGTGTGTGTTTGCCTGTTATGTTGGTGTTTGCTGGGATGTATGTACATATGCCACATACATACATGCATGCATGCATATAAAAACATTGACACACACACACACACACACCTTGACACATGGATACGCACACCCAGACACACACACATACTCTTTGACAGACACATACAAGCTCTGTGACAAGCACACCTACATGCACTTTAAGTCTCTATTTCCCTGTGGGGTGCAGGTAGCGAGGGAGCAGTTATCTTCCTGCTCAGATAATTTTTTAATTTTTTTATTTCATTTTGCAAAAAGTACAAATTTACATAGAAATAACACTTAAATAAATCTGGCTACATTCCTCTGGCTTTCAAGCAGAAAACCAGTCCAGTTACTTCCAGATTTGTTTAACTCAGCGGAGCTAAACTCAAGAGGCAGCAGTTGCTCAGAGCATCTGCCTTGTATATACTTCTCATTGAGCTACATTGGGAAATATATAATTGGACAGCCACAGAAAATCTGGACAGATTAAAAGGGAAGGGTTTGTAAATGCTTTTGTCAAGAGAACTGCAGCTTTTGCAAGCTGTTTTCAGATCTACCCCAATAGAAAGATACATGATTAAATGCATGCTAGTTTTTTTTTAATATTGGGTATATCTACCAAAACAGTGATTTTTGTTTGTATTTAGGTCATGGAGTACTTTCTTTAGGACTTTCCTCACAGACTTATATAAACCTGGGCTGTCTTCAATTTTTCAGATTGGTACAAAGTAAAATCCAGTAAATCAAACCTGCTTTTTCTTGCCTTCTGCTTAAAGGCACGCTGTAGTCACCAGAACTACTACAGCTTAATGTATGCTGAGTATAGTCAGTCTCTGCAGGCATTTTCATGTAAACACTGCCTTTTCAGATAAAAGGCAGTGTTCACATTGCTAACTAGGGAACACCTTCAGTGACATTCCCTCAGATAGTATCAAGAGGTGCTTCCTGGGTCAGTGCTGCACAACGTGGCGTTGCTGAACTTTCCCCATAGAGATGCATTGATTCAACACATCTGTATGAGGAGATGCTGATTGGCCAGCACAGCATTTGGCTTCACACCCGCCAGGCATGTTTTCTACTTCTTTAAAGGGGACAAGTGGTTTTAACATGGCATTATTTATTTATTTTTTTAACACTGTAGGGGTCAGGAATACAAGTTTGTATTCCTGACCTTTTATAGTGTTCCTTTTTAGTGCTGGTTTGCAATTGTTGGAGAAGCGCGTTGTGTACCGGGAACTCTGTAGAGGTGGTGGAAAAAGGAAATTACTGCACGTGTGTCGATACTTTAAGCATTTAATTGGCTTGCAATCGTCCTAGTGGTGTTCTCAGAAGCCAGAGTGACAATATTTGTGAGCTGCTAATTTCATTTCAAAGTGGTCATCGTAATCTACAGCAACCAGAATCTGCTAAAATTATAACGTTGGTGTTCCCGCACCCCACCAGCCCCAAAAAGTACTAAAAGCACACCTTTTACAAAGAATCATGCATAATTTTGTAAAATCTCTTGCACCTAAGTTAGCGTTGTCTCTCACAGGTAACAATTTCCAAGGTAGGAATAAAATGTATACATTTTTAAAGATGCATTTCTCTCTTGACTTCACAAATTTACAGTACACAACAAAGAAAACCAATTTCATTGTAATAAATTGAAGATGTAAATTGACATTTCTGAAGCACTAAAGAGATCCTAATACAAAGTAAGATGTATGTACCCATGAATTTTAAACAAAACATGGTGCTTGCAGCAGCTCCAGCATGTTGTATTTTTGCAATTTCCAATCCAAACTCACACTTGACCACTGAGAATGGGTATATATTTTCTGACGCGTTGTAAACTAAATGCCTGACAACTTGGTGCACACGTTTTAGCAGATTTCGTGGGGGCACCCTCAGGGCATTATAGTGCCAGGAAAACGAGTGTGTTTTCCTGGCCCTATAGTGGTCCTTTAAGAGAAATATTGGATGAGACTGAGATTATCAACACTGATCTCAGAAGTAGCTGGATTATGGGTCATTTTAAAGGTTTATGAATAAGAAAAATAAATTTAGGCATGTGTCCAAATTATTTTACATGAAATTGGAGTTCATCTAACTTACTCTAACTTGTGCTGTATTAAATTATTCAAACTGTATCCCAGCTTGAAACCTTATTGGAATATATGATGTATTTATACATGGATCCATTAACCCCTTAAATCCGGAGGGCGTACTATTACGCCCTGCAGGAGCCGGCTCTAAACGCCGGTGGGTGTAATAGTACGCCCTCACTTTAATGGCCGCCCACGTGGCCGGCGCTAATCGCCCGCTGCAGATCGCGGTCGGGGGGGTTGCCTGTCACTGCGATCAGTATTTAACGTGTGTCAGCCGATTTCAAATCGGCTGACACAGGTGGCCAGCGGCTCTCCCCTGTGCAGATCGCGGTCGGGGGACTTACCTGGCCCCCCAGGCAGTCCCCCTGGGGTCAGTGACCGCGATCTGTTAAGCCTGTCACTGCGATCAGTGTTACATGTGTCAGCCTATTGGCTGACACATGTAACTGGCACAAAGATCCCCCTGCAGATAGGAAGGGGGGAGTGCTTGTACCACCCAGGCACTCCCCCCTGTGGCCAATTACCCAATCTGCAGGAGGTGATCAGTGACAGGCAGTCACTGTGATCACTGATCCTGTGTGTCAGCCAGTGATGTAAAATCACTGGCTGACACTGTCTCTGCCCCCTCTCCTGTAAAAAATAAAAATAAAATATTAGTTAAAAAAAAAATTAGTTACATATAAAATATACTTACATCATATATATTATAT